CAAACAGTCGTGAAAATAAAGAAAAACCATTAAATCAGAAGCTGTGTCCACACTTTGACTGTAGTGTAGAATAAATATTAGCCTGCAGTCGGTATTCATTAGTTATGAAACAGAAACATTAGTTTTTTGCTTTTATTACAATCTGATATGTTAAATATATGCTAAAATCTGTGTTTAAAATATAAAGTATGGAATAATGTAGTAATACTAATCATCACATCAAAACATTTGCAACATAGAGTTTGTTTGATACATCCTGATTGCATTATTTGTAACAACCAGGACAGGAGCGAGGAAGGAGGAGAGTAGAGGGAATTAAGAGTGCAGCAGATTGATGAGACGCCAGGTGAAGAAGAGGTGAGTACCCAAAAGACCAAACACAGGTAACGGTTTAAAATGGCCGTTTTGGCAGGACAGAAGCAGATGTTGAGACCAGAGCTGGTAAAGTTTAAATATGCATATAAGTACTTCATCGAGCTTTACGCTGCTGCTTAAAATAAAAAATAGTAATGAAGCTGAAGAACTCTTACTGCACTGATAGTTAATCGTAGTATCATTCTGTGACAGGCAGCTACACACATCTTACCTCAGCCTTTAGGTAGCACTCAGTGTGTATTTTTAAATATTGATTTAACTGTAAAATTGTCACGATTCGGCTGTGGTCAGGCAGGAAGAGGACCCAAAATGCAGAAAAACGCTGCTTTAATAACAGACACGGGAAGTGATGCAGAACTAAACTAGACTGGGAAACCAAAACCTAAAACTCACACAGCATGAGGGAGGACGCGACACAGGGAAACACAGGGCTTAAATACACTGGGAATAACGAGGGGAATAAGACACAGGAGGAGAGCACAGCTGGAAGAAATCAGACATGACGAGACCGAAGGGAAGCAAAACTAGAAACACTGACATGAGACACGGACCTTCAAAGTAAAACAGGAAACACACCGGCTGAACTCTAGACACGTAAACTTAACAGAGACTGGGGAGACAGAACATAGAGACCTGAAGTGTGGGACAGAAGGGCACAGAGCTAACACCGGGAAACCAAATAACAAAACCTAAGAATTAGAACTCAGGAAGTACTACAGAACCAGGGAGCTAGAAATACTTAGAAACCAAAACACAAGCAGTCATAATCCATGATAAAATAAAAAGTAAAAGTACAAAACTCAAAACACTGGCTCACCGACCAGGACCATAACAAAAATATAGTAAAAGTTGCTTTTTTTGAAGAAAAAAAAACAACAAGATTTCAGGGCTGGGCTAAGCCCTGATTTTTTTCACTATCCTAACAAAGGCCCAATGTCAGAGAATTACAACCACTGTCTCAGTACAAGAAAGAAAAATAACCATAGCATCAATGTAAAGAATCAGTAAGTTCCAGGGCCATAAAACACATGTAGACTGGTTGGGCA